TATTTAAAAGTAAACCTGCAGTTGGTTCATTCAATAAAATGGATTTATCGGATTATAAAACTTTACTACTTTACACTAATGTCCATTTAGGTCGAGATGGAAAATTGAAATGTAATGTAGGTTATAAATATAAATTCATCATTAGTAACTTGTTTCCTCCGAAAACAGGCAGTGGTGTGTTAACCTACAAAATTTTAAACAAAAGACCTAAAGAATACGTATATTGGAACGATCCTAATGAACTCATAGTTCGATTAGAACTTTTACACGCTGCAAGAAGTGCTGGAAATACAGGTGTGGGAAACGAAATACTGTCAATAGAAGAAGAGTTACGAGAACTAGGTGTAATATCATGAGTAAAGTAGCAGAGAAAGTAGCAAATGAATTACATAGACCGGCTAGAAAAATATTTCCTAGAAGAAGAGTTGTATCGTATGGCAAAGATGACTTGTGGCAAGCAGATTTAGTAGATATGAAAAAATACTCTACAAAAAATAAAAATTTTACCTTTATTTTAACGATAATCGATGTTTATACAAAATATGCGTGGGCTGTGCCTTTAAAAAATAAATCTAGTACAGAAGTCAAGTCGGCTTTTGAAAAAGTCTTGATCAATAGATCTCCAAAAAACTTGCAAACAGACCGAGGTTTAGAATTTTTCAACAAACATTTTCGGATGCTCATGAAGAACAAAAATATAAATCATTATTCAACCTACTCTACAATGAAAGCGGCTGTTGTGGAACGATTTAATAGAACACTTAAAGAAAAAATGTGGAAAAAATTTACTACCAATAGATCATATAGTTGGATAAACATTATAGCAGATTTAATAACAAATTACAATAATACAAAACATAGCGCCATAGGAACAACTCCTAGTATAGCATCACGTAATCCTGGAAATGTCAGTTTTAAACGGCTACCTATTTTAAAATATAATAAAACGTTTAATATTGGAGATAAAGTTCGTCTGAGTAAACATAAAGCAGTATTTTCAAAAGGATACACACAAAATTGGACAACGGAAGTCTTTACAATCGCAAAAATTCGTGATACAAAACCTGTCGTGTACGAACTGACAGATGAAAACAACAGACCTATAAATGGTTGTTTCTATGAGCACGAACTTAGCAAGACTCAGTTTCCAGAAGTTTATTTAGTGGAAAAGATCATTAAGAAGAATAAAGACAAATGTTTTGTCAAATTTGTTGGTTTGGATAATTCACATAATAAATGGATAGATTCAATCGATATTATATAAAATGCCTATAATTTTTTTTTTTTTTTTTTGATATTTATTATTATAAAATATTTTTTCATTATTGTAATAAAACATTTAGTTGAATAAATAGACAATTACAAATACAACACGAGTTTTTTTTATTTAATAATTAAAAATATAAGTATATTTACTTTTTTTTTTTTCATATGTTACATTTTAAAACTATATACGATTACATGTGTATTACTAACATTTATTTACAATTATTTAACAAAAAAAATCTTAAAACTATTTATACTAGTACACATATTTTTACAAATTATTAAACAATATTTTTTTCCAACGAGAATCACTTAAATACTACTATATTTGTATTAATCTCCCTGTGGTGGTGGTGGTATAGCATAATGCCCGTGAGCCAACGTGTCGATCCTGTTTTCGAGCGTATAGCGCTTATCGTCGAAACGGTTAAGCGCCAACTTGGTTGTACGTAAAGTGCGTACTTCATGCTCGAACGAACGGATTGACACGTTCTGTCGGTACGGAGTGTATGGCAGCGATAATGTCGGTAGAGTCTCACCATCGCGTACAGCTCCGATGACCACACGGGCATTCTCTCCAGCCAATGCTCGTTTTGACACATCGTCGCCATCGCCATCGTCTTCGAACAAACATCGTTTGTAATCGTCCAAAGACAGATGGTTCCGGACGACGTGCCCGCGGATCCCCTTAGATTTGATTAGTTCGCTGCCTTCCATGTCATATGCGTAGCACTTTGATCGAAGTGCAGCGATCTCAAAGAGGGTAAGGCCACCGGTTTCGTCTGAAAACAGGCCGGGCATCTTCTTTCTATCGGTCGAGTAGCAAGAGTGATCCTTGGGCAGGCTAGATGCGTCCACGTGCACCAGTAAATCGGGGCTATCAGCTAAATCCTGATAGAAGTCGCCGACTCTGAGCAGGTATATGAAGGAGTCTGAGAAAAATGAAAAATATATAAATATTATAAAAAATATTTCTACTAAATAATTTCTAAATTTTAAAATATTTCTATTTTGTGCGGTTGTACTCACCAGTATCCATGTAAACCAATTCGATTGCGTCGCCATAATGCGGTTTCAATACGTCATAGAAGTACTTGTACATTAGCGTCTTGCTAATGTCAAGCACTGCTAAACCGACGTATATTGGTTTAATAAACTGGACAATCTTTGTGTCCATTATGACAGCGCACAACCTTTCACCGTATTTGATACAGTCGTTGAAGGTTGGTTGGTTTACGAGCTTGCTTAGACGTTCGGGACTGGAGATTAGCTCAATACGGATGCGTTTCCGCATGTTCTCCATTGTTTTCCCTATAAAATGTAAAAAATTATCGAATAACCCACTTTAGCATTGAGCATGCACTTACCAAAGACGGCATTATTCATTAGTTTGAAAAATGCTATTTCAAAAGCATTTGCCGCCTGTTTCCGCATTTCAGTGTTCAACTCAATGTATGGTTTCAACCAAGCACTTTGTTGAAACTCTAAAACGCGGTGCACCTGCAGTACAAATATTTATATTAGTATCATCGCTTATAGTTTATAGGTTAATTACACATACTTTATCGACTTGCAGTCCGTGTGCGATTGCCTGTTTTAAGTTGACATAGTGTACGACATACCGCTGTTTGAGTTTCAAAGTGGCCATGAGTTTGGTCTCTTTGGAACTCGGTGGTACATCGTTGCCAGGCAAGAACGGCAAGTCGTTGTGCTCGTCATGCAGCTCTTGTGGATACGAAACATCCACTTCATATATACGCCCCGTATTACCAGTGTCCGACAACGATTGGAGGTCAGCCAGAGGGTCTGTTCCTTTATACCACCGGAAGCCACCGTACGGCATGGGCTGACTCATAGCCCACCCGTAAAGGTTATTGCCTGTATACATTAAACGTTTTTAAAGCACCGCTCAATTATTGCGCGTTTATATATACGTATAGATTACTTACAGTCTTGATACACGATCCAGGAGTCTGGTTTTGACGGATCGTAATCGGCTGTCTTAGGATTGTTGGCCTTTGCATAGTGCTTGACAGCCTGCACTAACCCACCACGAATGCCCTGTTCCACCATCAGTAGCATGTCGTAGTCGTTCAAGAGCTCCAGCTTCATCCTGGTGTATTTCAACATACAATCGAAGCTAAAACCAGGCGCGGTGTAATAGTGCGCCGGGTCCAAATTGTATGTTGAAATACAGATGTCGCGGAAGTTCTCAAACACATCAGCCAACAACAACACGTCGATCTTAAGATATAGGTCGCTGTACTCACCGAGGGTTGAACAGCCGAAACGGTTCCACACCTCCGTGGCATGTCTATAGTCATCATCATCGATATTCGACTCACTTAACTGACTATAGAATGCGTCCTGAGGTGGTAGTTCCGTTTCTTCCAATTTAGCCCAACTATCNGTTTCGTCCAATTTAATCCAACTATCAGTGTACTCGTAGGGGTATACGCCCTTACGCGTCACCAACGGCATGTCTTCCGGGCGGAACACCTTGGCCGTCTCCCGGAATTTNACGGAACACCTTAGCCGTCTCCCGGAATTTAACAAAGTCGGGCGTCATTAGGTTACCGGCCAAAGTGGACAGGGAGGAGGCCATGAACCGGAAGGTGTCGACAAACCGTATGGAGAAGTTATTGGTTACATGTTTTGTGACCGAAATATACTTCTCCTCGGAATTCGGTATGACCAAAATCCTTTGATCGTCGTACCCCAATTCAGTGACGATGAAATGCGCGTCGTAACCTGAAAGATTGTGCAAGAAGCACGGCACAAAGTTGACCGTCTTTACTTTCAGGTTACATGCATTGCACAACGTCTGTCTGAATCGCCCCGATAAATGGCAGTGGTCTGCGACTTTAGGGTTGGAATCCTTGAATGCTGTACGGCACAAGTCGCATACCACTTTCTCCCCATGCCTGCGCACATCATCGGCAGACATTCGGATGGGAACGTTGGTTTTGCGCAACAATTTAGAAATGTTGCGCGTCACTTCAGTTACAGCCATCACAAATGCCTTGGCGACCTCTTCGCGATCCTCGGACCCACGGTATATCACCGGTGATTGCGGTATACCGTAGCGTTCGAGGAGCTCGGAGGGTACATCGTCCGATGTTTTCACCATGAACCCATAGCTCATGGGATGGTGGGTGTGCACAGTCCTGGTGTATGCACCCATACGATCGTCTGTTTTCTCCAGTAAGGCCTCAAAATCGGCGTAGATGACGAACGGTAACCGTTGCGTCTTTACCCACGCGTCAAATTCGACCTTACTGCCCTCTGCCGGCATATCAGGTAAAATAGGCTTGTTCTTGCCGCATATCAACTTGGGTTGCTCCAACGCTTGATGACCCCGAAGAATATGCTTTTTAGGCTGATCATCAAAGCTGGTGAAGCAACGTTTACAAGTGTATATACGACATTTGTGTTTGGTTTTTTGGTTGCGCACGAGCTTTGAAAAATCTGAAATGTATGCATAATGTGATTTTTCAGAGTCACCGATGTACAACAGGTCAAAATGATTCTGTTTCTCTTGGTCGGCGACTCTTAGAGGATACACCTACCACTTCATCTTAACGTCGTCTCGTTCCAAGCCGTACACGTTGACAGACACGTTAGGGTTTCGTCGCTCAAATATTTTAATTTGGGACACAGGTGTGGGGAACGTCAACCCCGTGAAATCATACCTGTGTTCCTCGTTAAAATAATTTCGTTCGACGCGAGATTTATTACTCCCGCTAACATGTCTCGCCAAAATGGACCACTTGAAACAAGACTGATCGATATTCTGTGAGTTGATGATTGCTTTTCTATGGTGAATTTCTGGTGGGATAGGAATATATGATGAGCCGGCGAGGGGCGTATACTTGTATACGCTGAGCATAAGGCCGTCGATATGCGATAGAGTAAAGCCGCTTCCCCTCCCCGAGTACACGTCTTCCTCGGCGAGCATAACCTCAAAATCTTCATCGACCGCACACCCGATATCTGTATCGGATAGCAATGCCCTAGCCCGTGTTTTAAAGGCACGGTCCTCGGGCGGTGCTTCCGATCGCGGTATATGGTATGAGGCCTCCAATTTGAGATTATATTTGATTGGACGGTTACCTACGATTTCAGCGAGTCTGGCCACCAGATCGGGTTTAACAGCGCGCAGAAAATCTCGATAGCTCGCGAAATTCTCCACGTTCTTCCGATAAAACCAAACGGCCCCCCGCTCCAATGCGGAATCGATCTCGGTGAAATCANTCCCCGCTCCAATGCGGAGTCGATCTCGGTGAAATCACTGGTTTCCGTCAATTGCATACGTAACCTTTTCGACCTAACCGCGCTGTTGTTAACCCTACTACGCTTAGCCGCCTGATGTGACAAAACAGATGTCGCTGAAGTAGCTTTAATCACAAATGAAATAAAGTATTTTTTTATAAATTAAAGTAAAGTAAAGAAATTTTTTTTGTAATAAAAAAATTAATCGTAAATTTAAATAAAATTGATAGTAAAATTAGGTATTGGCTATAATTTATTATTTTTAATAAATTAATGAATTTAAAAATTAAAAATATTTAAAAAATAAATTTATTAAAATAAAATAAGTTTATAATTGGAAAAATCTGCATACCTTGTGTAGAAGACGATTGAGCTTGCTGGTTCATGGTTTTATTTATACGTGTAAATTATTAAATAAATAAATTTCTGGTTTTCAAAAAGACAACTGCACGTCAATGATAATTAAAAACAAATGTGACAAGACAAGAAGTGTTTAACCGGTTATATAGTAAAGAATAAAATACGTAGGCGTGAAACACATCCAGTGGTGTCATTTTTATCATANGCATACCTTGTACGTAGGCGTGAAACACATCCAGTGGTGTCATTTTTATCATAAAATGCATACGACAGTAATCGTTACTTTACGGTGATACCTTTGATGTTGGAAATATGCTTACCTAAGCGTCTGGTAGCCGATGATAAAATTCTTAGAAATTATAGCTGTACATTTGATGTTGAATATATGCTTACCTAAGCGTCTGGTAGCTAATGATAAAATTCTGAGAAATTATAGCTATACATTTAATAATACATAGACAGCGCAACAATTATTTCCTATTAAATTACAGACGCTTATGAGCGATATAATATTATGATACCTTTGATGTCGGAAATATGCTTACCTCAGCGTCTGGTAGTCGATGATAAAATTCTTAGAAATTATGAAGCCATAACGACAAACGTTACCATTGTTCTCATAAAATCCATACGACAATGATCATTACTGTACGGCGACATCTTTAATGTTGAAAAATATGCTTACCTAAGCGTCTGCTAGTCGATGGTAAAATTCTTAGAAATTATAGTTATACATTTAATAATACACAGACAGCGCCGCAAATGTTCTCATATCAAATTACAGACGATTATGAGCCATATAATATAATGATACCTTTGATGTGGGAAATATTCTTACCTAAGCGTCTGGTAGCCGATGATAAAATTCTTAGAATAAGTTTATGTTGGGTTTAATTCTCTCCCACCCCCCACCTATAGAGTAGTTTACGTAAGGTTTCGTCCTCCCATTGCATTATGTTAGTTTACGTTGGGTTTCATCGTTCTCCCCCACCATTCCATTAGGTTAGTTTACGTTAGATTTAATCCCCCCGTACACTCCCTCCACCGCAAGGAAGGTGAGTGGGTGAGGCGGGGGGCCGCAAAGTCCCCTAAATTACCCTACTGTAGTGTTTTGAGTTTATTTTTATTACAAAAATACTACAATTAAAATTTATAATAATTACTAATTTTTTAACATTAAAATATGATGTATATATACATAAAAAACCCAGCACAGGGGGGTCGTGGCATAGTTGGATCAAGTATAATGATATCTGACAGTGATTAAAATCACTATAAAAAAAAACGCTTCGATGCAAATCTTTAGAAAGTGTTTAATTTTAAAAAATTAGTGGATTATTCCAAAAGCTACATGATCTGCTAGTTCCTTATTAATATCCTGATTAAGATAAAGTATGTCGAATGAAAAAGAGATTATTAAAAAATATTATTTCTCATAAAAAAATTGTATTGATCCATATATTTTTCAAAAAGTTATAGCATAATAAAGTTAAAAATGTAAAAAATAATATCGAGGATTTTCACACAAAAATAGCATTCGGTAGCCATTTTCACCGTGAAGATAAAATAAAGTCCGAAATTTTTTTTTTCATATAAAGTACATCAAATTAGCTTTAATTTAAGATATATATAAAAGTGTCAGACTTTCCGGAACATTTTCAAAAGTTAAGTTGAAAAAATTAATTTTTTGTAAAAAAGTTGTCATTTTAAATCCCCCCCTGTGGGCAGGTAAAAAGTCAGACTTATAAAAAATATATACCAAATGATAGACAAAGACATCAAGCATCTATAAAAAAAAAAATTATATTGATATGTTTATTTTTAAAAAAGTTACGGTAGTTTTTAGTAAAAGAAATTGAAAAAATTTCGAAAATTAGTGATTTTTAAATTTGTAATTTTTTTGGAGGTTTCCCCCATTTACGGGAAACGAGGGATTTTTTTCAATTTTTGAGGGTAATGTCTTCGACTAGATACGATTTGTGATCTTTTGACGTATCGTTGAAAGAAATCCGTTCGGTGAGAGCTGAGAAAAAGTGGTAACAGACACAAAAAAAAAAANCGTATCGATGAAAGAAATCCGTTCAGTGAGAGCTGAGAAAAAGTGATAACAGACACAAAAAAAAAATAAATAAATACATTTCAGTAAAACCAAGACCTTCTCAGCTTCGGATAGAAGCTAAAATTCTTTGCTTTTCATAAATTTTTAAAAAATTACGTTTGCAAATTATGATTTATATAGTATTCTCTACACTAGATAGATTGGCAAAACTACTCCTCGTGAATATTACATAGATATATCAATATTCATTATTATTCAAATATCTAAGTAATTATAAAGATATCCCAATAAATAGAAAAATAATTTTAAATGACAATAGTTCTTCATATTTTATAAGTTTAAGTGTGATTATAATTTTAGAAACGAATTAAAAATATAAATAATTCGAACATAAATTAAAAACTCTAGAAACTTAAATCAAAAAAATTAAACACACATAAATAATCATTTATTAATTTATTTAAACACTAAAATACTCATTCAGTTAAATAAATAAAACTATATATAGTATATGCGCCACTAAAATAAACTTTAAAATATTAAACTTTTTTACAAAATTTTTAGTTTAATCAAAGTAATTACAAGCATTAAAATTGTAACGCATAAATATCGATATAATTATGAACAATACAAATTTATTTTTATCATTAATTTGTTTAATAATTTTTTACATTGGTCAAATTCAATTATATGAAGTTGAAAACACAAAATATTTGGATGATGAAATAATAAGAATACGCATCATAAACATAAATGGAAACGAAATTGAAATTAATCAGACGTTTTGGATGGTTAAAATATTTATAAAAAGTCTATATGGGATAGAAAATTTAGAAAAGTTATACCCTTACTACAATATAGCTATGGTGAACCGATCATTGAAATATATATATGTATTTACCTATTATAGTAAAATGGCAATTGAACGTATGATATATGATGAACTTCTAGTAATATTTAGTACCACAATTTATAATATGTGTGGTTTTTTTAAGCTTAACCATTTAGAAAATGAAACCCTAGAAAAAATCAAAATCACCTTAGAAAATTTCAAAAATTACAAAAAATATCCTAAAGAACCATATTTTTTTTCAGATTCTAAATTCGTATGCGATGTTTTAGATCAAATTATAAAAACAATAATTGATTATTTTAAAGGTGAAAATATGTTAGTACTCCTACACGATTGGAAAATATTCAAATCTGTAATAAGTGAAGACTTATTAAAAAAATATTTTCCTCCAACAGAACATGAACTCACAAATGAGCAACTAATTGAATTTATAGACATTTTCGTTATTAATATAAATAAAGAGTATAAAATAAAATCTAATGTCGACAAAAATAACGAAGAAGATAGTAAAATACATAATTTTACTCCATGATTGTTTCTTAAATTTTAATTTTATTACTACAATGTATAACTCTAATATTTAATTCACAATATATACTTTTTTAAACAATTATCTTGTAAATGCAAACATATTTATTTTTTAATTTAAAAATTCATCAATAAAATATTTATATATTATTTATACACACAAGTGTTTCATTGCAGTTTTAGTAAATTTAAATTGAATATATTTCAATACTATTTTTAGAACAAAAGTTTTTTTTTGCTTTTTCATTACAAAATTATATGACCATTCATATATTATACCCTGTTTTCTTATTAATATTCCATCCATTAACATTATATTAATAGATATTTGAGATTGTATACCAAAAAATTGACGTAAATTGATGTTGTCTTAATAAAATACTAGTATTTTTATTGTTTAGTACTATTAAATTAATAACATTGTGTTATTAGTCATATTTTATCTATTAATACAATTTATTTCCAGTCTCAGAGTCTCATGAAAGGTAGTAATTTGAGCACGTTGACTGCCATGAGGGTCGTTTCAGCCCCTCAGTTGAATTTTTAAGTGAGCCATGAGAGGTCATTTAGTTCTTCACTGTTATGTTTTCTTTGAAGACTCGTGGGTTCAAATAGCCCCTCAGTTACGTCTAAATACCGTATCATCTGATTTTCTGTTATCAGTTTATTAAAATGCTTCATGCAGCATTTAAATGTTTACATATAGGTGACACACCAAAACAGGCGTGGCAGTCAACGTGTTAATATGTTGTTTTAGCTTCGANGTCAACGTGTTAATATGTTGTTTTAGCTTCGATGCGAAACTGAGAAGGTATTAATTTTACTATGTGTTTTTTTATTTTTTTTTTGTGTCTGTGAACGCTCAATCTC